TCTTTCGCTCGCACTTCTATAGGGTTACAGCTTGAGTTTACTTGAAATATCAAGTTCCATATTCATATCCATATCATGGAATTGCAGATGATAAAAAGTATTTAATGCCAAAGTATTCAACTGAAAGTTAATTTTTCGGTGATTGGTGGTTTGCCTATAATGAAGTAATCCCTTCAGTCTTTGATTCACCTTTAAGAATGATCAACAAAGGAGACATTCAATGTTCTCGAAATTTTCTTTAGTAAGACTACTAACATGAAGGTTCTTGCGTACAAATCATCTACTCATGATGAGATAGTTACGTCTGCTAGCCCCAAAGTGAAGATCAATCCCATGAAGGCAAGTAATTTGTGAATACCAACATTTTTCATTTTTCAGAGGTTTCATGGATGAAAGAAATCACGATACAAGCCGCGATGAGGTTCATATCTGTTGAGTAATTTTTATTAACTTCAAATTAACTATTTTGGTACCGTTGATTTTGTACTAAGATTATAACATATTTCAGACCTTATAAAGTAATTTTTTGTTGTTAACCTTGACATAAAAAGATTACTGCAATAATGTGAAAATTTAATTTTTTAATAAAATTATTTTTAGTAAGTTTTGAAAATATTATTGCAATACTTAATGATTGGTGCTGACCTTTGTAGCTTTACTTGCTTGATTGGTGGAATTGTTAGTTGATGGGAGAATCGATTTAAGTAATAATATAATAATAATGTGACATAAATTCATAGACTGCTAACAAATTGAAGAAATATGTTAATGAAGTTAAGATTTCCATATCAACGTACGTTTTCAAAAACTTAATAGCCTGTGATATATATATATATATATATATATATATATTCTATTATAGATAACTAATATAGATAACTAATAAATTAAAATACTATTACTTTGTAGCTACAATTGATTGTGTTTGAACATTTATTTCTGTTTGCTTGTGCCGGTTCATGGAAACAGTCAATAATATCTCCGTGTTATTTTAACTATTACATATGGTGGCAGAAGACAAACTTGATCTCCTCCATCATTTGGCAAAGCTTGCTTCTACTTTTATGGTATAATCTTCTCTTATTCCTCAATAGTTATAGTTGTACGTCAATTTGTGCGAGTGCAAATTACATTGATATTACTTCTTATTTCTTATGCAGTTGAATTGTTCCTGAAGAAGCTTTGCTATTTGTCACACCTTTATATCATTACTTCTCATTTCTCAAGCACTTGAAATATGCTAAATTACTACAACACTGCATAATTTATGCTAACTTTCTACAGAAAATGATATGTACTATTAGTTAGAGTACTCATAGGAAATAACATAATGATATGTTTTAATAATGGTAAAAAAAAAATTTGCAAGTGGTGTATGTGTGATGTATTTGTCTAAACAATGTTAACAACATATGAACATTAAAAATTTTCTATTATTATCCAGATTTTTGCTTGTGATCGCAGGGCAACCCTTAGAGGAGCATTTTCTTGGTTCTATTTTTGTTTCACTTTATGATATTTCTATTTTTGGTAGAAATGTTGATACTCCGATTGCTTCAGTTTTTAAAGAGGAGATAAGTTGATTTTAGAAAATTTTTGCAGTTTAGAAGAACAATGCATAGCTTTTCTAAAAATTCAAATTTTATTAGGACTATTTATGAGCATGTGAATATGAATGTAGGATAAACATTTTTATTCTGATAGTTTATATTTGTACAATAGAACTATAACGCAAAGTTTCCTCCCTACAAGTGTGCTGAAAAATTCATAAAAAGCTTAACAACTACTATTAATATTCTCGCTTTCTTTACAGATGATTCAGAGACCAGTTGAACAATTGAATGAAGAAGACGATTCTTATGAAAAAACAAAATCAAAGTACATTATGACAGTGGGGTGACCTGCTATTGGCTCATATTACCATACTCAGACACCATTTGAGAAACCTGTGTAAAAAGAGTAAACTGCAGAGACTCCCTATGGTTGCTATAAGGCTTTGTGATGCAATTCCCTATTCCATATGTATATTAACAGTTCATTTACATGTTCATACAATATAATAGTATTTGCATGCTCCTTATTGTCTATCGTATTTTTAAAATAATATTTTTTAATGAAAAACTATATTTAATATTTTCCGCGCAACACACAGGTACAGGTACTAGTTTAAGATAATAGGAAAGAAAAACTTTTAAAACTTGTGATCTTGCACATACCTTCCTCGATGGTTGGTGGAACAACCATGATGAAGATCCTTTCTAGGTGTTAACCTTTTAGAAAGAACTTGCTCTAATACCAATTGATAGAAATTGAATCCTCTAAACTGTATAAAGAACCAGGTTTTCTATCAATTTTCACACTAAGCAACAAAATGTAAAACCAAACAGTATAGGGAACCAGGTTCTCTATATGTTCCCACAGGAAATCGGCAGTAAATAAAGAACACACAATATTTACGTGGAAAACTCCTTGCTCAAAGGATTAAAAACCACGGCCTACCCTAGTAGGATTTCAACTCCACTAAACCGAGCAAACTTCAGATTACAACCTATTGCAATCAAGAAATTAAACTCTTAATCTATCACCCCTTGTATTATTTTATCTATACTATATTAAAAGCACGGAGACCCTTTACACTAGACAAAATAGTAATTTTATTATTTTTATAATATTTAAAAATAGTTATTTAATTCATTCCCTAAAATTTAGGACTTCGATTATGTACCAAATCCTTCCTTATTTGAGCCATGTAATACAACATATCTGTAAAAAAAAAAAATTGTACGCTTCATTAACATGTAAAAATCTTTGGATGGAACACTTTAAATTTCTAAAGTCATATTAGGAAACGTATGAGCACTTTGGAATCCTTTTCGCTATACTAGTCTTTTTTTTCTAAAACATTAACCAATTATATTTCTATAAATATTTTAGGCAAAAGTTTCGTTAAGTATTCATATATATTTTAGGTTACAATCCATTACTTTCAATCCTTTTACTTAGGAATTTATTTTTAATATACGTTTGGCTAAAAGTAAGGGAGGACGATGGTGTAAATCAGAAAAAGAAAAAAAAAACATATACCAAATTATTTCTTTTATGTAAAATACATTATAAAATTTATTTCTATTATACTACACGGCCAAAAAATTATTAAATGTCGTTCGCCTTTTACCCTTAAAAAATAACTTTTATAATGGACAAATTTGTAACTTCGGTTAGTTTTCTAATGTTTAGAACTTTGAAATCAATTAAAATTTTGTATATTAAATTTTTCCTTATTAAAATAGGTAGGAAGTACTAATATTAAGGAATTTAAAATCAATAAATATTTTACCTTATGTAAATTGTACTAATTGACAATACATTCTTTGTGCAATACGTATAAAATCAAGATGAGAACAATTGTGACTTCAATTAATTTATAATTAAAAAATAAAAAATGGTGACATAAAGTTATATCCATTAAATTAAAATTATTTAATACAATAACGTCTAGTTAAAATTATTTCAATGCAGAATAATCAAATATGTATTTAAGTATTCTTATTTAATCATATAAAGTAATTAATTCAAGTTCAATTGAGCACCCAAAATAATTATTTAATATCACATTTATTTATAAAAAATTATACAAGCCTAAATTTATCTATATCCATATATATCTATACTATATTAAAAACACGAAGCCTCTATCGAAATATCATTATCTTTTTTTACCCTTTAAAAGTTAATTTCACACCAGATAAAATAGTCATTTAATTATTTTTCTAATATATAGGACTTTAAAATCAACTAAAATTTTATTTAAGAATATAATAATATTTAGGTCTTTAAATTCAATTAAAATTTACCTTGTTAATTTTTTTCCTTATTTGGACGGTTTTTATAAATATCTTTTTGGAGTTTAGTAAGTGGCCATTAAAGTTATTTAAATTCTTAGTCCCTATATAATAGTATTTGTTTTCTCCAAATTGCCAATAATTGATTATCTAAAAATATAGAACATCCATCGGCAATGTATGTTTGCTTTTTCCTGTTAAATTTTTAAGAGTTTTGATTTAATTTTAACTTTAAATTTCTAGAAGTCTGAACTATTTTGGTGTTAATTTAGAAGTAAATTAAGCTACAGTCATACTATGTGAATTCACAACTATAGTTAATTTTTAAATTTAAGCTAAACTAATGTATTTAGAACCCTTGAAATAACTATAAATTTGTCAACCCC